TAGTAGGACAGCATATTACCAGCTTCCCTTGATGCAAACTTGCATAAGATTTAATGTTGAAGACTAACCAGCAGCAGCAGCAGCTGTGAACCACTAAATATGCACAGCTTCTGCAGATCCTCTTTAAGTAAAAGGGACATCTCCATTGATGCCTGGCTGGACTGGAGCTATCAAAATTTTGCAAAGATGTGGAATTCCTCCATGAAATAATCAACAGAGCTTTAGATCTAATTTAGTTCAAGACAAGTGTCTGGCTCAAAAATGACATGTTTGAAACGGACAGGAAACTTAGGGTGACCGGGTGACCATTTCTTCTATTTGGCATGTGGCATTATCTTCTTACACATCAATGGTATTATTATGGGAAAAACCCAAGAGCCAGGTGAGCATCAGCCACAGGGTTGGCTACCAAGTCTTTCCTCACAGGCAGTGGAGGGGCTGCTTCACTGCAAATTGCATCAGATAATAGATCTGCAACTTCAAGTGATGGTTTTGGAGGTAATTATCTCGATTACGCTGGTAAATGGAATCAAACTAGATTTTCATTGCAATACTCCAGAGGAAGAAATTGGCTTTATTCAGTAATAAAGAATGAGTCTGGAGTTTGAGAAAAGAAGAAAACCTGTTAGTTTGTACATGGACTGAATAAATTTGCAGGATGCAGGAAACAAGGAAGGAAGCTCGATGGAAGGTGCAATTACTTACAAAACCTAATGACAAAGTCCAGTCAGGCACAGAAACAATAAATCTCTGGTACACCAGACTCCAAAACTCAGCAAGCAGCCATTTAATTCTTTCCATGCACAGTAGCAAGCCTTATTTTAGGGGACCACCTGATAACTTTTTGGCTGGACACCAATTCAGGACTCATGTCAGTTTACTGAGCTCCTGATGGAAACAAAAGGCCCCATCTAAATGAGGCATCCTTGGATGTGGTAGGTTGTAATATGAATTATGCTGAATCCCTTCCCACTTATATCAGTATACTCCCAGAAATCTGAGACTGCCTCAGTTCTTATTCAAATGAAGCCTCCTTGCGAGCTGACCCAAAGACAATCTTAATTCATACAACATTCAAGAATATACCGAACCTTACTTGGCAGTAGGTTAAGCAAAAGTTTTGTTTGCCAAACAATTGGCAAGTGTAAATATTAACACCTTGTAGTACATTCATATTGTATATGCTTTCCCAAATACTGAATAATTTGTGTTTCTTGCATTTCAGTCATTACTAGAGCTACATGATGGGCGGAAAACTTTCACAAGTGAGGGTGTTTTGAACGCCCATAATTCCACGAGGTCTATATCTAAGATTAATAAAGTCGTAAGTGGAAAGTATTACCAAATCATCATCAAAAGGGAATCCCATCCACCAATTTATATTTGTAATTCAGCTGAAAGCAAAACCACTCATCCATAATTTCCACCTGCATGCTTCTTATGAACTCGTGAAACCAACTTAGTACAAGCACATTATGTACTTGCCAAGTCCAAATCTCCTGTCGAACTAAACCATGTCACTACAGATTTCAGAGAAAGACATTTCAAGTTTAGCCTTAATGGACTCACTTGCTACTGGAAGCAAACAGTTTGACATAAGAAAATATATAAATATATACTGCAATTAAATATTGTTAACATAATTTAACCAAAGGCAATTTCAATTATTTCACCACCTCAATTATCATGTAGAAAAAGAAATGAGTCCTGTGACATGATGATCAGCAACATAATTTCAGAAAAGTTGATATTTTGAGTTGTCTTTATTGCTCCGAAATCAGTGTGTCAATTGTTCTCACAAAACAGTCCATTAAGTAAATAAGATGAAGCTCCAATTGTCGACATTGAGGACTTCCTTGTACCAAGACATAATAAATGGTTACAGTGCAATTCATAACCACCTTAAAGGAAAGAGTACTAAACGGTACTACAACACGGTTCAATTACTATCATAATTAGAAATACAACAAGGGGATTGTACATCCAGCTGGCTGTAACTGTTACCAATGTTAGAAATGACGTAAAATGCTGCAGCAACTTCTAGGATTATTGACTCGAGTTAGACCGTAAATGGGTTGACATAAGTCCAGTGCCTTCACTACAGAACACTCGTTCCACTTTAACATTCATCTATGTCCAACTTGAGACCATCAAAGTTCAATCTACATTATTAAGTGGTCCATCCCAATTTCTAACCAGTATCTTGTTTCCCTTTGATCTATTCCTTGCTTCCAGCTCCAAAAAATAGTACTCATGTCTTCATAGATGACCTATTTATTTCTGTTTTCAACTTGATACTTTTGACAGACGGTGAGCATCAGTGCCAATGGTGAGGATTTTTTTTTGTGATTTAGAAATCTCGACTACAGTTGTAAGACTGTGAATATCGACTGTCCCCAAAGGCCTCATAGATGGGAGCAGCATGCACTTCTTCAATCAGCATTTGAAGTACTTACCATTGAAGGCCATAATTGTATAGTGCATTGTAATAACAAGCATAAATAATGATGGACACATATCTGAATTACAATAAACTAATATTGTGGTATATATTTGCTCACAAAACCTCTTTGACAAAATTAGTTCAGCAGATGATCAACTACCATTTATGAAGATGGAAGATTCTTAATGTTGGACCACAGCAAGAAATAATTGGATGGTCTTACTTGAACAACAAGCTCCTTATGATAATTATTCAAAAATGACTGTCACATTCCATTTTATATTGTTTGCGCTTTTGCTTGAACAAGATTATTATGCACATGTATTTTGCAAAAGCTAAAATGTTGACCCAAAAATGTCCATCTTATCCTTATGTGCATGCAGATGATATAAATTTGACATCAAATGGTGCAGACAATACTAAAGTAAGAAACAAAATTTAAAATATGCAAAAGTTACCAATACAAACTTTCTCATTCAGATCTATGGACCAAGATGAATCACCTGGTAGCAAATTGTCAGCTTTGCACAACTAAACCTGGGTTTCACTGTGTACTAGCAACCCTAACAATATTAATAGTCAGCCTAGCCTACTCTAAGAACTCGAGCAAATTAAAATCACTCTATATACAGGTTCTTTCACTGGATGCAAATATATACCTTATTACCCATTACCTCTCCTTGTAACTCTTATACTCAGCATTTAATATCACTCATCTAATATTTTGAAGAACCAAATCAGAAAAAGATCATAAGTGCAACCACCAGTATAAGAATCTTGATAATTATCATAAAGATTGCTTGAAACAAGTTCAAGCAAATGATACTGGACCAAAGGATTCAAAACAAGCACCAGGCAACAGAATTTTCCAGATCACCAGAACTTGATACCGGTGGTGGCAACTTGGAAACCAAGTTGATTGATCTCAAAGAGAAGATGACAACTCAAATACCACCATTGAACTAAATATGGGAATACACCATTCTAAAAAACCTTGGTGCAATACTTGCAATAAACAGAGTCAATATGGACTATCTGATTGGAATTTCATTAACGGATCATAGATTCAGCTAACAATTAACAAACTTTTTGGTATAAACAAGGCTAATTATTCCTTAAACTATTCCAAGACTAGGAAGCAGAAGCTCTAGCAGAAACTGAGAAAGGATTTAAAGATGACTTTTTTACAGCAGGTGTGAGAGATGAACTAAAGAAACCCATTAAGCATAAAGCCTCACTAACCTAATGTTTGCCGGCATGACCCATTTCAAAGAGCAAGACAGTGATGATAGAGATAAACTCCTGTTCATGAATAGCCAACAAATAGCCCCTTCTTAAGGATCAGAGCCAACTCCATGGCGTTTTTACTAGTCTTCAGATTCACATCTCCGGACAAAATCGAGCAGAGATCCAAAACCCCTTCTTCAGTGGCCTCGACGGCCATAACTTTGCTATCTGAGCACACCAAATTCAGCACCAGGAGGGCGTGCTCAATGGCTCTGGGGCTTCCGGCTCTTACCACCTCAGCCAACACCCTAACAAATCCGCTCAGCTTCCTCATCTCTTCCTTCCCTTCACGGCACTTGGCTAGGAGGCCCAGGACCCGCACTGCCCTCTCCGAGCCCTCGCTGACGAGGCGGAGGAGCGGTGGCACGGCACCAGCACGGATGGTCCGCCGTCTGTTCTCGGCGAACTTGCACAACTCGTAGAGGGCCGTGGCCGCCTCCCGCCGCTCCCGACCGCCGCCTTCACGGAGGAGCGCGGCGAGGCGGGGAATCGCTGCGGGGTGGGCGCCGATGGTGGCCTTGTTGACCTCTACGACAGCGAGGCTGGTGAGGAGCGTGGCAGCGAGGGCGGCGGCGGATGAGCCGGAGCCGCCGCGGAGAGCGGCAACGAGGGGATCGAGGGCGCCCTCGGCGACGAGGCCGACGCGGGCGTCGTCGCCGTCGAGGGAGAGGTGGAGGAGGGCGTGGAGGGAGAGCTCTTGGAGGTCGGGGCGGTCGGGGGCAGCGGCGTGGCGGAGGAGGACGGAGGCGGCGCCTGAGTCGGCGAGGAGGCGGCGGGCGGCGTGTCGCCCGTGCTGGGCTAGCCGGAGGACGGCGGCGAGGGAGGGGGTGTCGGAGGGGAAGGAGAGGCGGGCGAGAAGCAAGGCGTCGTCGGTGACGGCGGCGGCGGGGCGCAGGGAGAGGAAGTTGGAGATGAGGCTGCGGAGGGCGTGGTTGGGGATGAGGGAGGGGGAGGAGGGCAGTGGGAGGTTGGTGAGGGGGCAGGTGCGGTTACCGGAGTCGAGCCAGCGCTGGATGGAGGCGCGGTCGAAGGTGTGGCCGGAGGAGAGGATCACCGGGTCGGTCATCACCTCCATCGATATCGGGCACCGGAAGTCCTCCGGCAACTCCGCCTCCACTTCCATCCCCCTCTCTCTCTTCTTCTTCTTCTTCTGCTTCTTCGTAGGGAGGGAAGGTAGGAAGGAAGGAGGCAAAACAGCAAATGGTTGTGTGCGTTTGGGACAGGAAATAGAAGGGGGAGAGATAACGTGAAATGAAATGACTAAAATTTCCATTGGCGAAGCGCCGGGGTTTGGAAATGAAGGTGGATTTGTTTGTTTAAAGAGGGGTATTAAAATAAAAAGAGAGCACTTCTTTTTTACATATTTATCGTTCCACAGTTTAGAAATATATTAATATTATAGAGCGATTTCCCTCACATTTTAGATATTTTCCAATCAATTACTTTATTTTGTTTTTTTAAACAGTATTTTTATTTAAAAAAATGTTCAAACTGTTCCTCAAACGAGTCAAATGAAAACAAAAACTAATAAAAATATAAAAAAATTTGTTGAATTTTTTTAAAAAGATATTTTTTAATTAAAAATATTATTTGAAAAAAAAAATAAAAAGGGGCACTTTAGAAAATACCCAAAATATGGGTATTTTCTAAAGAAACCGCCCAATATCATACACATAACTCACATCCATAAAAAAAAATCATTATTATTAACTATATTTGACGCTGATAAATAGAACATATATATATATATATATATATATATATATATATATATATATATATATATATATAATTTAACTCTAAATTTTAGGTATCATGCGATATGAGAATGAAATATTTTTATACTAAAAAAAAGAAAATAAATTTGTTGCAGTTATAATGGGCAGAAGCATCTCAACCTAAAATCAAACATCAAACATACTGTATGGATTACATGATTGGGATTATAATGACTCATAATTGTACATAATTAGGTCCTACATTAAGCCAAACATTGACTTGCATGTGCTAGACAAATCATAGAACAGGGACAGAAGAACGAATCAATTAAAAGTTTACTGTTATCGAAGAGTGTCATAGCATTGTTTCAGAAGATTACCCAAATACGAGGACAAAGTATCAATTAAAATGAAAGAATGAAAAGAAAAGAAAGAAAGAAAGACAAGTATTTAGAGTGCACTAGACATATAAATTTAACAGTATCAAATTCTTGTTTGGTAATATACTCGATTATCCACAAGAATATTTATTATCAAAGCAAGCAAAGTATGATACTTGGTTGGTCTTCAGATAATTCAAGTATCTGAGTGGTACATTAACTTATAGGTATTCACCATTGTCATTCATACGGTATCAGGAATTAGCACTTCCTATCCATAAATACTGATCACTACAAACTAGTACAAGTATTATTAGTATTAAAAACATTGCTTAGAACAATAAAAGAACAAGAAAAAGGGGATATGGCATATGAGGTAAAAAGCAGCAGAAGTATTAGAGAAAATACTTGATCAAGGTAAATGACTTCTTCAAAATCACCAAGTGAATTACGCAAATACAGAATCTTCAATGTTGAATGGTAAGAGTAGTCTGATATGTGTAAGACAGGTACCAACATGTTGGTTTTCTCCTCTACAATTGTTGCTGGCACAGGTACGAGCAGTTGACACATCCATCACCTATCAAGAAGAAGACTGATTAGTTGAACATCCAATGCTGTCAAAAGACCTCAAAATAATCATGCAGATTGGACATGCCTTGTTGTAGATCTGAATATGGTCGTGGCATTTCTCCATATCATCCACTATCATTGAAGAACATGGGATGAAGCATCCAAACTAGACCCACAAGTTCACAGGCAAGGAACATGCAGCATCAGTAAAATTCTTCACAACAAGATTTCTGACCTTGATGCTGTAGCAGAGTCTGCTACTAGTTCATGTATTAGCTGTTTTTATGTGCAGAAGCAGAAAAAAGAAAAGAAGAAACAAGGTTAACTCATACTTGTGAACTGCAGGTTTGCACACATATAGTTGTAATCTTTGCACAAAATCCATAATACTGTGCCTGGAAATGCAGATATGTAAAAACATGTCTAGGAAAAACAAGCTTCAATAGCCGCATAAGGATAATTTGCCATAGTTTCTCAAGAACATTCATTAACCAAAGAACACAAACACTCGCCATGCTTCGAATGCACATAATATGTGCTTTAATTACTGGCCGTACCTCCATTTTGCTCAACATAATTGGAAATATGAGCAGCAGAAAAATTGGCAGCAGAAAAATCGACTACTAGTTCGTTAGTAGTCGACCCTTTCTTTATATGTCTTAACTAAAAAGCCATTTTAGAATATCATAATTTAGAAACACAATTACATAGTCACAGAACATAGGGCCCCAAGAGGAGGTTCAAACTTCAGGGGACCATACTTGGGACCTTGTTACAAATACTTACTTGACACCTTCCTCATCTTACCTTAGCTGGCAGCATCCATGTGCAGTAATTTCCAACCTGTAAACTTGGATATTGTAGTAACTTATCAGGTTTTCACAATTCACCTTGAAAACCAGATTGTAATGTTAGATCAGGAAACCTGCATTAGATGATGGATCATGACAGCTGAACTCCAAATCTTGGTGTGGTGTCTCAACACCCTCAAACAACAGGGTTCTGGAATTGTCCTGCACCAGTTGATGAGTAAACGAGCATAATTTTTGACAAACAAGTAGCAGAAACATGAACATGACATTTCAGTGCCTGGTAAATACAGAAGATACACTCAACAATTGTCCACTTTTTCAGAACTGACAAGCAAACCATGTGATTACTTAGTCTTCAATATACAAGCATTATATGGAGGTGTAGATCTGCTGAAGAAGTCACTTTCCAACGACCATTATCCATGTCATTTCTTGGAACTGAGTAAAGAGAGTCGCAAATTTATTTAACACCAGCTTATATGGCAAAGAGCAACTTAAATTAACATCATCAATGTCAACGAGGTACATAATGATTGTGGCACCAACATGACCATTCACTCACAAAGCATGCAAATAATTAACCAACAACTGATGCTTGGAGATTGTAGTAACTCATCTGGTTTTTACAATTTACCTTAATATGTGTTGTCAACCTTGTACACTATGATACCACAAACTGAGACAACTTTAGTTTGTCCCTTAAATGGCAAATGATCTCAAGTGATACTGAGTACCAGATACCTAACAGACAGCAGATGGGCCTACATTCTACAGAGATTTAGTTCGGTCATCACAACTCATCATCATACTATCGCACGTAGTATCGGTACTTCAAATCAAAGTTTCTGCAGTGGCCGATCAACATTAAAACATGGATGCTCTAGATATATCACAAACAAATCTTCTGTTTAAATCAAAATAAGCAATATAAGGCCCGATTTTGATTGTATAATGGAGAAGAAAACTTGCACAATGACTCTAGAAGTCAACATGACAACACAAAGTGATTGTCTTCAGAGATAACCAGTGCATTCAAAATCATTAAACAATTTAATTACTCATATGATACACATAACTGGTCTTCCTTGGTCAAGTTACTAAAGTGGAGCTTTCCTTCGTATCTACTGAACTGTGTGAGAAACATTCGGTCTTGCCACATTAAAGATTTAAAATCTTTAAACTGGTTTATAACTTCTAATCCTTAAAGCATAATTGATACATATACATTGCCGTAACAGGAAAAAATATATATGAATCATAAATCCTACAACATTTCACTTCCTTTGCAGAGTCTATTCCACCATTTTGACCTTAAAGCGAACAAAAGAATATATAAATTTCCTAGGTATTATAGCTAAGATTAATTGCCAAGAACTCACAGTGATATGTATACGAAGGAAAAGTTCTAACCTTTGTGCTCATCGACGGCATCATGATACTCTTGCTTCTCTTCAGGCGCGGGAGGGAGCTCTACCTCCTCTACAGGCAATGCGGAGCCATTGACACGAGGTGCTAACAATCCCCCGGCCCCTGATGCGTCGCTGCCGGCTCCATCATCGGGATAGCGGACCACGACAACAGGACAAACACAGTGATGCACGCAGTAATCGCTGACGCTCCCGAGCCGGCTCTTGCTGCTCCTCCTGGAGGCACCGAAGCCCCTGCTCCCCATAATGACCGCGCTGAGGCCGTGCCTCTCGATCTCGTGGCACATGTCCCTTGATAATGTGGATCTTGAAGACGACAAGTGGCTGCGCGAGGTCCTGCGCCTCGGTGGTCGTGAAGGCGTCGAAGTCCTCCTCCAACTTCTGCGGCGGCACCTCCTATAGCGGGTCGTCGAAGGCGGAGGCGGAGACGGAAAGGTCGATGGCGCCCCAATCATCGCAGTAAGGACGCCGGTGGGCGGACATGGAGGAGGACGACGGCGTCGCCGGGGCGGAGGTAGTTCTGGACGGCCCACTTGACGGCGTTGGCGCTCACGTCGCTGAGGTCGACGGCGATGGCGATCCGGCGGTGGGAACCGGGGCTGGCGGCAGCAGCGGCGGAGAGGAAAAAGCGGGGGGACGAGGGCTCGATTGCCGGCGGCCGGCCCTGTCTGTCGGACTTCGGGGGCGTCTGCTGGGCTTCCATGGCAACGATGGGAGGGTCTCTGTTGCGGCGACGCAAATCGAGAGGACGAGAGCGAGAAGGCGTTCGATGGGGTCGATCAATGTGTAATCTTCTTTCCCGTTAATCTCTCTCTCCTATCAAACAAAGGACTTCGATTTGGACAAGCAAGCAAGCAGGGTCGAGTCGAAGATCAACTTAATCCAAACCGTGGTCAAAATTTCGCATGGGCAAGGCGTAGAGGAAGCAAACCGAGGAAAGCGAAAGGGGTGACGGGTCGCATCCGCCATTGGCAGAGCCCCGAGAACCACGAGCTCCACCTGCTCGATCATTTGCCCGGCATCAAATTGGACCGGCTCCGTCGCCTGATCCACCTCGATTTGGATTGAAGCCAAAGCTCGCTGTTCTAACAGGGTCAGTTGCAACAGAAGAAAACAGACGCACGAGAATCATGGCTTCTCGGTCGAGGTAGGTGACGGCGAGATAGGCCACGAATTGACCACGCTACTCGGCGGCGACGCCGCCCATTCCAAGGAAGACCGACTACAAACGCTTCCCGTGCTTGCTTTCCATGGAAACATTACCTTCCAAATCAAGGAGAAGGCGTCTCCGCTGGCGGAGAGGGCGGCTAATGGCTACTCTCCGTTGCCAGAGAAATCCACCGGCTTCTCAAGAAGTCCTCCGCTGCTTCCTGTATTCCGCGACGAAGAAACGATGTAAAGATCAAAAGGATGCGGATCCTAAACATCCTACCCGAATCCGATCAATGAATTGGGATCTGAATCCGGATCGTATGCCGTGAGGCATCTCTCGCAGGCGCCTCGTCACCTGGCGATGCGACCACACGTCCCGCGGGAGCAAGCAACGCCACTTCCGGATCCTTCGTACCGCCACGTGCCGTCGGTCATTCTCCTAAATCCATCGGCAAAGGGCCCATCGTTTCCAATTACCCGGTGAACCTTTCCACGGCACCGGCTATATCTCGCCCACCGGAACGTCCCTCCCTCGATATATAGAGCCTTGGGGGTGTTCCTGCGTGGCATTCGTACGGTGTGCTGGTGTCGGTGGTGCGTTCGCTGGATGAGCTTGCGGTACATGAGCCGGGTGGTGGTGCAGGGCCGGGCGAGGGCGGCGCAAGGGATCCGCGACCATGCGTCCAGGTCGGTGAAGGACGGCGCCGCCGCCTCCTCTTCCTCGTCCAACAGAGTGAGGTTGCTTTCCAGGGCGGTCGACGACTCCTCCGTTCTCAAGGCCTGCTGCGCCGCCGAGGTAGACAAGAGGAAGCGGGCCGAGGAGTCTCTGCGCACGGTGATGTATCTCAGCTGCTGGGGCCCCAACTGAGGGACCTAAGAAGATGAATTAGTCTGTGCAAATGCAAAACAGAGGAATAAGGGAAATATAAGTTCATATGTGATGATCTCTTTGTTCTTTGGAAAGAAGCTGTTGATATTATCATCTGTGTTGCTTTGTTCTTTTAGATTTTTGCTTTTTACAGAAACTATTTTCTTGTATCTAAATCTAATCATTAATCCTAAAACGTATAATCCCAGGATATAATTTCATCTATTATAAATAATATATATGTTTGAATTTTAAATCAAGTTTTTCTACTTTAGTACTTCAAAATATAAGCTTTTAGATGAAATGATAGTAATTATCAGAACGATGGATCGAAGTGCCGACAACATAAATCAATAGATCGTCACCGAGACGGCGGAGGACAAATTAGATTCGACATCAAACACCTTTCGATCTCAGAGAGAAGTTCCATTAATCTGGATGAATATCTATGCGTTGGTACAAGCGACTCTATTTGGGTCCCCAGCAGTCCCAGTAGACGAGCTTGGACAAGGACGCCTCCGTGCGCTTGGCTCTCTCCGCGGCTCCCTCCCCGCCTCTCCTCCACTGATCCATGGCGGAGGAGACTCGCGTGGCCCGAGAGATGGAGGCCACGCTGCGCTTGGCTCGCTGGTGGAGCGACCTGAGAGCGTAGTTCCACCGGCACAGCCCTAACTGATCCTTGAGCGCCTCCACCGCCGCCACGCTCGCGGCGATCACCAGCGAAGCCTTGCTCGCTGAAGCCATGTTTACGGACTTGGATCTGGCTCTCAGAGTTCGACGGGGAGTGACACCGCAGATGCGAGATTCTCTCTCTCTCTCTCTCTCTCTATATGTATATTTATACGTATATATATATAACCCCCGGAGAAGAAACTGCGGATGAGACGCTGATGGTTTCTGACCTGCCAGAATACGGGGGGCTAAGTTGAGAGAGAGAAATTATTGGCAGGCTCAACGATGGGTTAGGATGGGACATGTGGCTTTTAATATGTCAGAAAATAAGTGAGTCAGACCATTCACCATATCACCTGAAATCTTGATAGGAAAAAGTCTCCACCAATTTAAGGATGATCGAAAGAATATTTATTTAACTATACATAATTACAGATCCCAAGCAGCGTTGAGAATATCATTCACGTTTTTATCATGACGTGACCCTGATATATATATATATATATTCCTTTCGAGATAAAAATATCGTGCTCCTACTTACACAATGATCAAAGTTGGAAGAGGCTTTCCGAGTTTATCCTCTTACGCTCAAGTTAGTCCCAAGTCAAACTTTTATGGGTGTATATTTTTTATTTCAATGCATTTCTATCTAAAGTGAGGGTGTGTTTTTATATCTGATCTTGAAAATATAATTATATCTGACCTAGAGTTGAGGGTGTGTTTCAATAGGTCTAATTCAATCCTAGTTCAGGCCCAATGAACTCCTAATCAAGTTGGCATGATCACGCTCGAAAATTAACTTAATTAGACACTTAAATAATTTTGATTAAGTCATAATAATTATAATCATGAAACCTATGTTGTTCGACATGTCATCTATTCATCCGGTACTTCGTCCGAACCTTTGGTACATTATCTTTTCCTTTGGTATATTGTTCGATCCATCGGCATGTTGACCTCACGCAACATTCGATCTTCTTAACGCAATGCCTGATCCTTCCGGCCTGATACCCAAACTTTAACATAATGCTCTACGACCCAACGTATAATTCTCCTGCTTCAACAATTTACCTTTCCGTGATCTAAGTTTTTCCTGTGTTACTTATTTTAAATGCTTATTAGTTCATAAATACATCAATTGATTTCATCATCAAAATTCGAGATTCAACGATCTCATCCTTTTTTATGATGAGAACAAATTGATAATAAAACTTTAACCAGACTCCCCTATCTATATATGCTATTTTAAAATCAATAAAGTTGAATTAAAAAAAAGAATGATAATCTTTTAATGCTAGTCTTGAATTCAAATCGAAATAATTTTAATCATAAATCATAATGACTAATCATTTTAGTTAACATTTCAAAATGATCATTACACAAGACATCATCGTCATAAGTTAAAATATCATAATTCATCATCATAAGTTAAAATATCATAATTTTTCATCATTTTAGTACAATAGACTTCTCCCTCTTTATCATTAACAAAAAAAAAAATGTAAGTTTTTACTTCTCTTTCCTTTTAAAAAAGAAAAGAAGGATATCATGATGCTATTTCTCTTCATTTGCATTAATGTGTCAATTGTACAACTATTTTGATATCACATAAATATATTAATATTTATTTATAAATAACGAGAAATCAAGAGATTAATTTGATGATAAGATATATAAGTTATGAATTTATAAATAACAAAAAATCAAGATAATGATCCATTTAAATGAATCTCTTTATAAAAAATCATATGAGAAGAATTCATGCGTTTGAAAGATTTCATGCCTAATTCTTTTCTAATAAAATTGAATTGTTCCTCATGCCTAATTCTTTTATAATAAAATCAAATTGTTCCTCATGATTTAGTAAAAATATCTACTAATTAATATTTTATGTCAATGAAATCCAAAAATCAATGAACATGATTCCTAATAAAATAATATTTAATATCAATAATTTATTTAAAAATTATAAATTGATTAACCAGTTAATAGATTTTGCAACAATTCAATTAGATAGATCCGAATGTTCCAATTTGAACTATTTTTTGTTAACCAAACTGAATAAAAATAATAATAATTCAATTCAATTCAACCCTTATCGGTTCGAACGTTTAAACGCCCTGTTATGCTTGCAATACAAGCACCATAAACATAATCACATGAAATAAGGATCCTCTTGGTGCCGACAATGTCCAAGGAGTTGAACATTGCAAGTTTCAAAGAACGGTTTAAAACGCCAAAATAACCTTAACAGACAAGCTCAAGACCAAAGCCTTGATCTTATCATAAAACCTTCAATGATAGTTAGCTGGATAACAATGTCGTGTCGGTTTCTAAAACCGACGCTACCGGTGTACCCTTCCGATATATATCATAAGGGTACACCAATATCGGAATCGTGCTTGTGAACTGCCTTCAGGAATCGTGCTTTATATCCAACTCCTACAAATTTATGAAATGAGATATATATATGTATACATATATATATTTACATGTATATATATGTATATACATATGTATACATATGTATATACATATGTATACATATGTATACATATATATATACATATGTATACATATGTCTGAGTCGGAGA